GGTTATCCCAGACAAAGAAAAAGTAATACAGAATAGAAGAAAGTGACAGATGAAATCGGTTCTAGTGTCTAAGAGTTGTGTGTCTTGGAAACTAATAACAGCTGTCATTCAATATTTGTGAAATTGAATTTGATATAATATACAGGGTGAAAGTTTGAAATTAAACTTTTATAAGGTTAATCGAGCTAAAATATTTTCATGTTGGCGAAGCATCAGAATGTACCCATGTGGTCAACTTTCTTATTTTACATGGAAGATCTTATAATAAAATGAAATTCCCCGTAAAATTCTAGACATATTGCATGTATAATACTATTACTGAAAATGTACCTAAGTACATTTCACGGTTTTTGAGAAGCTTACTTAACATTTTATGTCAAAAATGACCGAACAATATGTAATATTTTCAGATGCCGAATGCTTTAAAATTTTGCACTATTAACGTACCCATGGAAAATGGTCTGTTGAACTAATTCAGTCACTAATTCCAATATTAAATGGTTTTTTCAAAATCCTACATTATTAATATTTCAAATTAATTACATATAGGGTGTTCCTTTTAAAATAAGGCAGTTGACACCCACTTCCGGTATATCCTGATGTATCGCCCACTTAAAAAAATTTTAGTCAAATTGCCAATATTGGTATAATTACAAATTTTAAAATTTATTTATTATTTAAGTATATGGAACCCACAATTAATTAGTACTTCATGGAAAATTAATTATGATTAAAATTAATCTTTTTTTTTATTCAAAATTTACATTGTTATATATGTTCTTTTAAATGAAATCCACTCGTAAAACAAAATGTCAATATTTGGGACACTTGATTGTTGTTCAGACCTAAAAAATATTTAAGAAATTAATTTCTTACATCTTATTACATTTTTTTGAAATGCTAATATATTACCTTAAATAAATAAGAGTTCGAAAGAACTTTAAATTTCATAAATTGAACTGATGAAAATCCATCCAGTTCAATTAGAACAAATAATGTTCAGATTTTCACAAATTATTTATTGGTATAAGACAGCTGTTTCAGCAACACCTTGCCTTTATTTTGCCAAATCTGATTAAGGCATGGTGTTATCATACACCAATATTTTGTGAAAATCTAAACATCGTTTGTTCTAATTTAACTAGTTAATTTCAAATTTCCTGATTGTTTAAATATCAACAAACTAAATGAGTAATTTCTAAAAGTGAACTAAAATCGATTTATTAATTCAGTTCAATTAAATCAAATTTAAATACCAAAAAAATTATAGAAATAGAAGAAACAAAAGGACAATCCCTGTGAGTACTCAAATATTCGAAAGAGAAGAATAATATAAGATTAAGTAGAAAAATTTTAATTCTTATAGAATAGAAAGTCTTCTATACTCATATATCGACGAAATAGCATTTCTGTCTTGTAAACTTTCACAGGCATTGAAGGGGTTGACTTTCTGTATCGTCGAAAAACAGCACCGAATTTAACCCTAATTAAAAAGGATATCGTTGTTTTCGTATTGTGGCTCGGAGAGAACGATCGCGATTGTTGTCGATATTACAAAGGGTAGGAGAGGCTCTCCTCTTATCAGGCTGCCGCTCTGGAAGGATTCAAAAGATGTCCCTGTTAATTTAGACGTCTGTATAATAGGATTTGTTTAATCCTTTCGAATAAGTGCTAACTAAAAATTTGTTCCTCGGCGTGGAGAGGTTTTTGAGATCAACGTCGAAATGGGATATTTTAATTTGGACAGGTTGTAATAGAAATTTAATTACTGACGTAGGTTTGGTTATTGATTTTAAGGTTAATAATTTAAGGTACTTATTTTATTGTGGGAAATTTTCGACTTCGAAATCTAAGTTAAATATAATGTTAATTATTGTCTTGTGTTTGTGTTGTTGGTGTCTAAATCTTTCACTGAAATTAAATTTAAAGTATTTGTAACGTTTTGTTACTATCAATAATAATAACAATAATAATAATAAAGGGAAAAATATTCGAGACTATATTACACAGTACACATATCCTACTCTCAGAAAAATATTGACGATCTAGAAGAACCACTTAACATAGTGAACACAGAGTGCCAAAGCAATGGTCTTTCCATCATCAAGACCAAAACGAGGTTTATACAAGAAGTAGCAATAAATGAGGATCTAAGACTTGATGGGGAGGTAATGGATCGCTATTATGGATATATCCAAACGGAATCTAGTTAGTCTTCTTTATTACTTAGCGAAAACTGCATTAAAGATAGTTGTTAGAAAAAGGACTTTCGTGCGAGGACCAAAGTATCTCTAAACGGAAAAATTGAAGAGAAAAATGACTGGGTAAAGCTTTCACGGCTTTGGAACATTAAGTAATGGGCGGGACTAATGACAGAACATGTTTTTCACGCAGCACTGGGCAGACATCAGTACCAAAACGTAACCATAGAAGACGCCAACGCTTAATACAAAACACCACAAGAAAAAGAAGATTATTAAGATGCGAGATATAAATAGGCAGCTAATAGATAACTAAACACAAAATCAAACTCTTAAATATTTAAGTTTTTAAATTAGATAATATAGGTGTAATTTTTATATTTCAAAATAGTATTTCTTATTAGTTTCATGTCCTCTTTCATTTGAATTTCTATAATGCAGAACGGTATTTCTAATTAGTTTCCTGTCTTAATCTTCTTCATTCGAAGTTTCCATGAATTATTTTGAAAAAAAATTACATTGTCATCACATGTGTCTAACTTTGAGAGCATTATTTCCAGGGTGTCCGTATAAAGTCGTTAGGCATTGCATTATTTTAATAAAAAGAATTCAATTTTATTTCATTCATTTTCTTAATGTTTTTCAAATATTAAAAAAAAAGTATTAGTCATCTTGGAAATCATGTTTTTAAACTATCGTAACAGCGCAAATCCCTTGAAAATGTAAAACCTTTATTGTTCAACGCAACGGTTCAGCATCTCATCGGAGTTGCAAATTTTCTGGGGAGTCTGAACGACGACTTTTTAAACTTGTTTAAACTTTAAAAAACTTGTTTAAAGTTGGACGTGTGGATTTAGCACTTTTAGAAAACTATCGATTCTAAGTCTTTACCGGACTTTCTTGCGTTCGATATAAAATTGAACATTCCGAAGCATATGCTTCGAAAAACATTTTCACGGCGAATGGCGGCGACATAATTTTAGATCGTATGTCGAGGATGGTTTTATCCTTCCTTTGTATGAACTCATTTCTCATTATCTGATCCTAATAACACTGACCGTAAACTTTATTAAGGATGATTGCTTTCACTGACGGCAAATTGGGGTTAGATTGGTCTTTAATAGAAACTGCGATACGACGGCAATCGCCTATTTTCTTATATCGCTAAAAATAGAGGAATTGTGTAGAAAAAGTATAATAAAATGTAATACCCTAAAAGTTTTTCCTTTTAATCTACGGACAAAGTTCTCGTACATATCATTAATTCGTCAGGGTATAATTCTTTAAGGAACTACAAAAAGTAAGAATAAGAAACTAGGATTTTCTAGTGCAAATCGATATTTACAAGAATCATTTTAATAACTAGCTTTAGTAAGTCTTTCAATTTCTTTTTTTTATTTTTAGTCATAACTGCACGCATTATAAATCAATTCTGTTTTCAATTTTCACACACCATATGAAAGTAATCATTTTGAGATCTTCTTCAACGTACGTTTTTCGACAATTTTCAATACAGTCGTAGAAAAATAATTTATTAATTATGTACATTAATTAAACGTAATAAGTCTCAGCAACTTAATCCACCGTTGCCAGTGTAAGAAATACCAACCACCAAAGCGAGCAACATACAGCTGCGGCCTGGGTTTCCAAAATTCTCAGACACATCGCAATCGATAAAGAATGTTGGATAGCAGTACGGAAATTAATGAAAATAACTCTTGTAACGCATTTTTTGCTTCATGACTTTTTAGCTACGTATATCAAACTTTCCACTGCTCTTCACGATAATGTGCGAAAACCGCCATGTTCCAGACAAATTCAATTTAAATTACAAATTTTATTACGCGAGTCATTAAAGAAACTTTAGGGAAAATTGACAAAATAATTCGAAAGTTTTGAGATATACATATATATATATCTTAGAACTTCTTTGGAAATTCTATCAAGCTTGAAACTTATCTCATACATAAATATTTTACTGATTAACTACACTTTAGTCATGAAACTTTCCGGGCGGTGAACACTACTCAAGATAATGCCTAACTTTGATATGTTTTCCATAAACCCAAATGAACGCAAAAGCTACTTTGCACAACTTATTAAATACGTATCTAATATCTAATATAATTAGGTATACAAACTATTTGCAATTAAAATTTGTGACTGAAATAAAAAAAAATTAATAACATTCATTACACTATTTATTTTTCTGTTTTGATAAATTTGCATTTATTTGAAATTTTCGTTTCATGCCACTGCATTTGTTTTATATATATACCTGCTCCATATCGATTACAGTTGCGCTATCTGTAGTCAAAAGAAGCAAATGCCTTGACAGGAAACAAAGTGCAAAAGTGCCGGCTACCCTGCCACAGAGGGTGCCAAGGCGTGAACGCAGGAGCAATGGGTACGAAGATGCCTTCTATTCCGTCAATAGTTTTGCGGTTTTGATATTTGCTTAAATGCTTTGCTTAATTGCTTATTTTTAGTTTATTTTAAACTATTTTCTATAGTGAATCAGATGATGGACTTCATTTTATCTGATTGGAGAGCAAGTCTGCAATGCGTACATTTTTTTTATTTGGAAACTGTTTAAATTAACCAAGAAATATTTAAAATGATAGTTTCCAAATTTCGTTACATATGCTTAACGCAAAGATATGGTACATGGTTCGCAGTTTGAATTATCGATAATGTAAAGCAACGTCTAAATTTATCAGGTTATTTTATCAAAGGAATTTGCTATTGTGGGTAAGGTCGATTAGCGACTTAACTAAATAAAAGAAACCGTTAAACAGATAATACTTATATTTCTATATATTACAGAGGAATTGTTTCTAAAAAATACATTTGTATACATAAGTACATGTGCCCAAAGACAGAGCGCGCGTGCTCCATACAAAAAAGTAACGGGAAATTTATCGAACAATAAAATAGCTTTGCTCTAACGTTTTAACATTTAGAAACACTATTAAGTAGTTATCAAGTAAGTAACTAGGCGTTTATGTTTCACGAATTCTCTTCTTATTATTACAAAACAAACTCCACAAGAATTTAAGTATATGCAAATTGACGGCTGCTCCCGATATAACGTTAAATAGCAAAAGAAAAACAGCTATATAAAATACATATATACAAACCTATTGTTAATGAAGATCATTTTGCTAATATAATTACAGCATCAGACATTTTTCAAACAATTTTATTTAATGTCTTCAATTAAATAACATACCTAACTTGCATAGGTAAATTTTCAAAACATTTTCAGGGACGGTAATTTTTTCGTAAAAATAAACAAATCACTGCTTAAATGCATTTTTTAAATATGGAATGAGAGTTTTAAACTACATCAAAAATTGTTGATCCCAAACAGGACTTTGCATCAAATTGACTGTGCGTATTCCTAATATGCCGCGAATAAATTTGTTATTACCCGTTGGCAGTACAGCATTCGTAGCTAATTTCTTGTAATTGAACATAACACAGCACAAAAAAAACTTTATAAGCGTCGATTTCTGTAGATAACTAATAATCAAAGCTTAAACACTTTAAAAGTATTAGTTCTCAACAAAATCTACACACTTCGATGTTAATTTGTTAAGAGTGTAATAAATATATTCATAATGATAAATATTTTTTCAATTTTCCTCAATCTTAGTTGATTAATTTATCACATCCTGTACATAAACAAGTAGCTCGATCTGATTTACGCAAATTTTAAAACAGTGCACTGGAAAGTTTCATGGTGTTAATATACATTCAAACTTTTATATACACATTTAATAATCTTATTTATAAATCACCCACAGGGAAAATCCTGCCATCTTTTTTTATACCAGAAACAATTCAGTCCGGCGAAAACATTTAAATTTCAACAAATTTTTTAACATTAGCGATTTAACGAAGTTTTACATAGTTTTAAAGAATCCATCTCAAGGTGTATTTATTGCTTTTACTCTGTTTAATTTTTTATTGATGTTCCAAAGTATAAATTACTGTGCCTTGATAAATACACAATTGCACCTTCAGTCCTGGCATACTTACTTAGGTAAATTGTCCATCAAAGAGTTTGCAAGAATTAATTTTCTTTAATACTGTTTGTATATCAAAAAACCAACATAACTACTTCAATTAAACCTCATAAGGCGGCATAACAAATGAAAAATAAAAAAATAATATGAATTTACAATCGACTATTATTTGGTAAAGTAGTGTAACTTTGAAGCAATTACCAAAAGTAAACTTCATTGCCACATACTTTTACTGGAAACAGAATAGCAAATTTGCCAGAATTTTGTAGCTGAAATAAACACAAAGTAATTCCCATTACGAGATAAACATTACGAAATGTGTCACAAAGCAATCCTGTAGAATCCTTTTTTTTTAAATAACGCCATAAAACAGTTTTCTGTTCAATAAAAGTTCGAATGAAAGACAAATTTGATTATTCAGTTAGCGGGGATAGCCTGTAACTGGACAAAAATAGCAAATTCTGGTTGAAAGAAATATTTAAAAATAAAAATAGGAAATGATGGTAAATAAAAAAAAAACACAATAAAATCGTTTGAAACTCCAAATTAATAACAAAATTTTATTGCTGTTGTTAATACAAATTTATAAATTAGTATTTGCGAATCTTTTTTAGGGACCAACTTTTGTAAAAATTAAACCCCGTTGGAAATATTATTCGAAAAACGCACACATGATGATCTTAGACTAATTGGGATATAAAAGTAATATTGTCCTTATTCAGTAGCGCAGTATTTATACCTTTGGAGATGGATGGAGAGATGGAGCATTTATCCGTAAATTATATGCAGCGCCTGCAAGGTTTAGTTTGATATATTTGCATACATAAATGTAGAATTGTTTTATTAAAAAAGAAAAAATAATATATTCGATATTCTATATCCGACACTGCTTAACAAGATTCTACAGCATTACCTTCCACATCACTGTGAGTTGCAATAACAATTGACCAATGAATGATACGTGACGATTACGACGTTACTCATAAAATGCGTAAAAAACAGCAGCCAACATAAACAAAAATTAGATGTACGCCATTTAATAATCTACTACAAAAATGAACTAGTTGTAAAAATAAGCAAAAATTGCAACATTGAAAAGTGATTCAAATGTCACTGTATCAAATGTCCAAAATCTGCTCTTAGATACGTACTGTTTTGTGAATAAACAAAAACTTCGATGGGTTAACATGGAAAATATAAAAATAATTGGTCCTTATCAATAATAGGAATGATACCATTTACACATCTTCTGGATTGCTTCTGAATCGATTGCTGATAAATCAAACTAGCTGAACTTTACCTAACTGAAACTGGTTTAGATTTGGGTGAAGCCAACAGATTCGATTCATTAGCAACCGACGCGGGAGTAATCGGAACCTGTAAATAGTATTACAGTCGCATATGAAAGTTTCTTTGTAGTAGTCAATTTACACAGAAAAAATGATTAATATTTTCTGAAATCCACAAGTACCAAGCCACGTTACATATAACTGAGACAGCAAATAAAAAACAGCTCAAGCTGTGTATGCTCTAAAGACTTACTTATTTGCTGAATGCATAAAATTAAATTGAGAAATGAAAATAATGATAAAAGGTTTTTTGAAAGAAAAACCTTCATAGGAATTAGTCTTGGTCTTATAACCTTCATACTTTTTAAGATACAACAAACCTGGTTTTGCAAAATAGGTCTGACCAAAAAAAAATTAAAAGGAGTTGTGTCACTATTGCTATTTAGCAAAGGATCTTAGATATCACATAGGTTTATGGCGTTAATCCTCCAAAGAAAAAATCAACATTCATGCGCGTTCAGAATGTGCTGTTGATGTTGGCTACACAAGCGTTATGGGTTTCCTTTGAGTATAAGGTCGATTTGCCATCAACACAAGGTGACGTTTGCATCACTGCAATTTATTTTCTGATGTTATGGATCACGGCCTTTTCCAATTTAGTATTTTTGACAATAACGAAAAACCTAAATAGTCAATTTGATTTTCGTATGTTATCGAAAGGGCGTACACGCTTAGGACAATTTTTCAAATCTATCACCAGTGCTTCGCAAAAATTAAAAAATTTCTAAATAAATATAACAAATAACAACGACCATAAACATCGTAAAATTTTACGTTTTTTAAAAACTACCGACCAGCTCCCATGGGCCATTAAAGTTGTATTTGGAAGGCAGTGGGAGTGGTATTTGGTGATAGGAAAGGATTTGTACTAGAACCCTGCCTTGTCGCCGAATCTGCCCATTCAGCATCGAAGGGATCCGGCTGTTTAGGCTTTAAATTTTCCGACGCTGAGTCCAGACTCATCGCTCTAGAAGTAAATGATGGCGCTCGTCTGGGTGAACTACCATCCATTCTTCCAGGCCTTGGAGATGTAGATTTTACTATTTGCCCTAACCATTGTTCAGGCTTTGGCAAGGTGTTTGCTGTAGTAGTAATACTGGTATTTTGCGATCGAATAGCAATGGGAGTTATGTTTGAAGTATTACGTTTAATATTAGGGCTAAAACTGAGACTAACAGGAGTTATCGTTGTAGTAGAGGTAGTTGGCGTAGAAGTTATCGACTGATTGAATGTGTTATTGATGGTGGTGACGTTGAGATTAATAGTATTTTGATTTAAAGATGTGCTGTTGTTGAAGTTGAAGTCGTCTGATCCGCTATGAGTTAATTGACTTAAACCTTGTGAAAGTTGTTGACAAAGGGCTGTCACTGAGTCGGCCGGCGATACCTGGAAAATTGGGAAAAAAACATTTATATGCAATAAAATTTGTAATTTGAGGCATTTTCTGTAACTATAGAGATGTATGTACATTTTGGACATTTTAGTTGGTATATAAATTCATATTAATGTGCTTTTTATAAATGTTCCCGGTTTGCTATTGGTTGATTTGTGTGAGTGTGGGCTATACAAATCCGTCAGCTTTCGGCATTTGTATGCACGAAATACCGAAGTACAAAGAGAAACTCAAGCGAGGCTGGCCTGCGGTTAGGCCGTCATAAAAATTTACCAAATAAATATCGGATTATGTGAAAACGGTATATTGTTCGGCGAACTATACATGCAAATCAATCCTTCGCGTTGTTACAGAATAATTTTTGACAGTAAATTAAACATACATTTATAAAAGGCAATGTATTGCAACAATAATATTCCGCGTCCTACGGCGGGTGATGCAGTATTAATCAATTAAATCATTCAAGAGTTTATTAAATACCTCAGGTATCGGCGACACTGGCTTCGAATCTAGCGTCCCATTCGCCGTCGGGGACGTGGGCGATTTGTACTGATTCAAACGGGCGGTATTGCTTGGCAAATCGTTGACCCGCAGCGACATCTGTCGCTTGAACGGCGAATTTTGGCCTAGAGTACTGAAACCTCGACAGCTACCCTGTCGTTGGAGCAAACTCGGTGTGGCATGTGGTCTCTCTATGGCGAACGGATTGACTGGTGGTGCTTTGGGTGCGGAAGGAACGTCGACCTATCAATGAATGAAACACTTTTTACAGCGTACTTGCCAAAGACAAAAGAGACCCGACAATATATTTTATGCTTAAAAAATGGTTGCCTTATCAAATTTGAAATTTCATTCTCATTAATCTGCAGTATAGTTCTCTGTATACTGTGATCTGGGGCTAGAATGTCTGACATATCAAAGCAGCGTTCAACCACATTGGTGATTTTGCAATATGCGAATCCATTTTCTTATAAATTATTAAATTAGTAGCCACAGGTACAACTTCGAGCACAACCTAGAAGCAAAAAACGTTGGGTCTCACGCATTGGCACTCCGGGCACTTGGTAGATATTCCAAAAAACGTGAAACTAGATCCTTCAGACAAATTTATTAGCTTTAACGTAGAAAGTCTATATACCAACGTGCCCTTGGAGGAATCGTTAAGCATTGTTGAGGCTAGTCTAAGGAAGGATACAACCCTATCAGAGAGAACTTCGCTGCCACTTGAGGGAAAGTTGGAGCTTCTGAGGTGCTGTCTGCATAATTCTTACTTTCAAGTCAAAGATAAGTTTTACGAATAAAATGATGGCCTCCGATGGGTTCTTCTCTCTCCAGTGATAGCGAACATATACATGGAGTGGTTCGAAACTCATGTCATAAACACTGCAACTATTAAACCTAAGATGTGGCTTCGATATGTTGACGATACCTTCATTATCTGAAGTGGAACCGATAGACAGCTAGACTCTTTTCTCAATCATCTTAATTCTTTGCGAACATCAATTAAATTTACTATTGAGAAAAAAAAGAACGGCTGTCTACCGTTTCTAGACGTCCTAGTAAGTAGAAATAATGGTTCTATTAACACCTCTGTATATAGGAAACCTACCCACACAGGACAGTATCTAAATTTTGAGTCTAACCATTCTGAAGCAACCAAACTAGGAATAATTCAAACACTGTGCAAAAGAGCAATCACAATATGTAGCGATCAAGCATCTCTCGATGCCGAATATATATATATATATATATATATATATATATATATATATATATATATATATATATATATATATATATATATATATATATATATATATATTAATTTAAAACTATCATAATGGTTTTACCCCTACAGTAGCCACAGGTAAAACTTCGAGCATAACCTAGAAGCAAAAAACGTTGGGTCTCACGCATTGGAATAGTTGTCGGGTCTCCTTTTTTAAGCGAACAATTTCAATTGAAATGAATGTTTTACTAAGATTTGGTGGGCTTATAGATAGTATGGCTTATAAAAATACATACCTATCTGTAAAATGAACTTAATTTATTGTTATTCAGATGTGTGGTTTTTTAAATTCAAATTAAATAAAGGTTTTTACAAATGGTACTCTAAATTTCCTGTATTTATTGTATTATCTACAATTAATTTAAGACAAAATCAAATCAAACATTTTAATTCTTGGTATACCAATTACTTCTTTAAAAATTGAAATAAATGTTCACTAATCCAGAAATGTTTTTATATCATTCTAAATTAATTCAGTAGTGTTACGTATGTATTTATGAGTAAAGGTACATCTTTTCCATTGCAAATTTAATTTTTACCTTTAACGGTGACGTACATGACGTACAATGACTTCGATATTTTTAATGAAAACAATGCTATGTGAATAATTTTTTCATTCAATTTGTTGCTTTTATAACGATTGGACTGTAGAGAAACGAAGAGGCAAACGACAAGAAGGTCATAAACAGTTTTAAAACCTAGTTTTGTAAAAAACAAAGACCGTCGCCTCTCCAATTGTCTTCAATGCTTAGATTAGTTTTTTTCTACTCCCGTCTATAAAATACCTAATTACCCATCGATCTAGCGTGCGGGATGCGTACCACGTCATACCGCGTCAGTTTCGTTTCCCATGATTTCGAGCCACTTCGGACATTTCCGGGATTTTACCGCACGGACTTGGGAGCAATCGAATGTTTTCGGAGATATTTCTCACGCTTCGAATTTTGACGTTTGTCAATTCTGACGGCCATGTCAGTGAATGTATTCGTGTTGCTTTGCGAAAATGTACCCACAAATTAACGGTCGTAGAAAAAGTATAGTATGCAACACGTGTAGTAAACTTTTTAAGTCACTCGTTTATTAAACACTCGCTCCGCTCGTGTCAAATAAACTTGTAAGTCAAATGCCATTTACCGCACTTGTTGCATAATATACTATTATGTTGAAATTGCATTGTACAAATTGAACAGGTAATTCAAAAATAAATTTTGCTTGTAACGAAAGTATTAATTTTATCACAAGTCAATATGTATTCATGGTCGCTAAATGATATGACCCAAATTTGGAATATTAATTCATTTTTTTCTCTATAAAATTTAACCGCCCATTATTTTCGGACAAAGTTGAACTATAGTTAATAAGTTTGTTTAGGTATACAACTTCTCGATAATTTATGTTCGATTTTTGGTTACTGATTTAGTATTGCCTACAAAAATAATAAACCAGTAATAAAATACTTACCGCTCTTTCAGTCATAGTCTGCTGCCTAAACGATCCGGTTCTTGTAAAGGTGTTGTTCTTCGTATCGAACATCATGGTGACCCCGCATTCCTTGTCCCTTTTTTGTTTCCTTTCTAAGCACACAGCAAACGCACAGCCTACCGCATGGGACAACCTTTCGCCCGATTCTCTAAGAGCTAGAAACCCATGACACATCCACCGTCTTGTGGTACCGTCTCGGCAGATATAACTAAACCTAAAAACAATTAGTTTAGAATTAATTGGCATTTATCCGAATATATAATTTTTAAGTTATATCCTCCAAAGTCTTTAAATGAATATAAACTTTCATGTTTGGGGTTTAGAACCAAAATAACCTAAGTAATAGAAAAGAAATTTTCTTCTTTCTTCTTACTGCCTGAATTTTATAAATCTATTTTATTCTATGTGGGATTCTGTGGTGGAGCACATGGTTTAACCTCCTCTCGCTCCTTGCAGAATCCGTTGTATTCGTCCCAAAAAGCTCTAATATCTGCTTTTTTTAGTGCAATTTTTGTTCTAAAGTGTTTGGTGAATGTTTTAAAGTATCTAAGTGTACCGGCCCCGCTGTTTTCGTTGTTCACGCCGGTTGGAGGTCGGATGGGCACGGATCGTCCTCGGTGTTTTATGATATCGGTCAAAATCTTTTCTTACTAGAAAAATCATCGGCGGATGCCGGAAAGTGGGCGAATAAGCAGTGAGCCCAGCCGAGAGCGAGTTGTATTTTATTTCTCTCATTCTATGTGCACTAGATAAAAACTGTCAAACACAAAAGTTAGGTTAAAATATTTATTTGTTAAGAAAATTCATATTTAAATAATGGGTAAGCAATAATTATTTCAGTTTAGGAAGAAAAACTTTAATGGACCTTCTTGTAGATAAAGGGTTAGTTCATTTGTCACATTGGTACAGTCTGGTGCATTTCATTCGATAGACAAAACGGTTTAACGAATTCCCTAGTTGCTAATTTTGTAGGTTCTACCCTCTGTTAAAGTCCGCCTTTCCAGATTTAAGATTTGACTCACATCTCGGTTCCCGATCTTCCTCTTCATTAACATCGTTTGCAAACATCAGATACATTTTGTTCAAATTTTTTTCGTGAAATTTACGAATATTAAGTTTTCACTTTGAAGCCTTCTTCGAAATATGAAATAAATATACCTTTATTCTTCTTTTTCCATCCGAGCTTAAGTTTTAGTTACAAAGTTAAAACTTTTATTTCTATACTTTTTCTTCTATATTTCTATTTCTTATGATTTACATTTACAAAACAAAACGTAATTTATGGAAAACTTTTTAAAAATTAAAATTTTCGTTTACATGGGCGAAGTGAGTTTTGGGAAACTCGGTATATTCATCGATCGCCGCCATAATTTATCATGATGTATTGGTCCGCCATAATATGTTGCAGACCACTTACCCCCTTTCGTGATTTCTATCTGGCGCGCAAAATGAGACTTTTTCGATAGTTTGATCTACAATTAATCCCTTGGTTTCTTCTTCGACCACCCGCAGTCCATCGCCGCTAACGTGAAGAACTGCACGAGTGGGCCTCCTTCTTGAGCCCTAAAAAAACGACATGATAAAATAAATAAATATAAATTACTATTCGACTAAGACTGACTTATTAGTTCAGACACAAACTCAACAGAGTGTTAAAATTGACCTGGTGGCGGATTTTTTCTAAATGCTTATTTACTAAATACAAATCAGTGCTATTTTCTTGAGTCATGTATTTAAAGTAAATTGTTTACTTAATAGGTTTTAATAATATTTACAAAAAAACTTCCCCAAGTATGCACTTGGAGAAATGGACTCCAGTTTACAAGAAATGTTATCTCTTTAAGAGCATATTGACTTCCAATTTCGGAACACCCTGTATAAACATGTATTTAAGATCTTCTATTTTTCTAATTAAACATTATGTAATTTAAGATGCTAAACGTCTTTCGACAGATGTATTCAACATACAACAATCAGATGTAAAGCGTTTTGTACTGTTATGCAATTAAAAATTTGCATTAGAAGACATAAAATTTATACATATGTGTGATTCTGTAACTGTAACTTTTTATATCTTGTATTGTTTGTTCTCACTGGTGATTAATTAATCATCTAATAATGAAATTTTTGTATTAATTAAATGATCATAAACATATTTCATCATACTTTTTATATGATATCAATTGTCATTAAACAATATATAGTTAAATGTCAGTACCGTGTCATGTCCATTTTTAAAATTTATTTATAAATTCTTAATTTTATTTTCTTTTCGTAAATTCTTATTCCTGTGATCAAATTAAAAACAATTGACACTGTTTAGTTAATATTGTGAGTTCGGTTCAATAACTTTGTCTTTAAAATTTAACGAATGTTTTAATTTGAATTTCTATGACTCGAGCGCCATCTACCTCGAGATTTATGAAACCTCTAGTGAATCATGTCGAAAGTACGTCATCTCAATACTGTTTACAAAAATTGAGTTGATGAAGTAGTGCAAAGAGTTTATGTGATTTTAGTAACAGAACGGAATCACCCATGTAAACGTTGTGTCGTTAGCTGATTATTTGATTGACCCAAGTTAGCTTATCGTGTAAGTTGTAAACATAACGAGTAAATAACAGGTTAGATTATTATTGTTTAATTATTAAGCAAATTAATTTATTTGTTTTTTGAAATATTACTCCAAAACTTGAAGTTGTATTCACTTTATGCCAACTTTAACAAGTGTTAGATAAGATATAATAGAGATTTTTTTATTTTTCAGTATGAAGAAAATATTTATGATTACGAAATTTGATAGAAATAAGTGGAACGAGCTAAGAAACCTTTTTCCGATCGCTATCATGAAAGAAAAACCCCTTCTTGTCGAGTTCTAATTGAAGTCACTTATTTTTCCCACGTCTAGCCGGAAAAAACTTACCCTCAATACTTTAAGCGCCTCCTCGCATACTTGCATCCCCCTGGAGTCAAACACCTCGACGCACCCCAAATACTTGACCGCAAAGGTACAGGTACCCGATCTAACGGCGCATTCGTCAGCCTGCCACTGGTGCGGTTTTGAGCTTTCAGGGATCCGATCCTTCCGCTTGCGGAAGGAATCCCTAAAGGACCTTCGCAATCTGTCCATTTTGCGAGGGGACCGAAGGCTGCGCCTCTGCAAAAAAAAAAAAACAAAACCATTATTATGCATCAGAAATTCGCGACCGTGAGAAGTAGGTAAACAGGTACAATAAGCGGTAATCACAGCGGCCGTGGGTACCTAAATGAATTTCGCTAATCGTGTAAATCATGGGAACTATCCTAAACATTTATTTTGTATGCGTATCGCTCGGCTCGAATTGCATTTTTGACATTTCGACTGCCGTAAGACTCTACTTATTCGGACTGGTAAAATCATGTGTGAAATATGGTGTACCAGATCTGAAAAATCAGTGAAATCTGGGAAATCTTTGTTACTTGTGAAATCATAACGTACAGTTGGTAAAGATCATACGATATAAGGCTAAGGTAATAAAAAATAGACGATTTCATTTTTTCAAATTCAAAATCAGTAAAATCGTTTAGAAATATGTGGAAGCTTTTTAAAACTTGTGAAACCTTTTGATTGCGTGAAAGCTGATGTACCTATTTTGGTGGTGTTTTGGCTAGACTTTAAAATTTCAACTGAGCGAATACGATATTTCAACCAAAAATAATTATAATTAAATTTGTTTGGGATTGGTATAATAAGAGATTCATAAAATTATTGGATTAATGACTCAATTTTCTGGTTGCGTATAAAAAAAATGTTTAATATCAAATTTATGAGCGATTTTTTAGACACCAGGCATAGGATTGAGCCAATAACGGTTTTCAATTTTTCAGAGTGAAAATATAAACTTCAAATCTTATTGAATAATTGCCTAAATATGGAACAGTAAAATTTATCTTCACGCTTGCACATTTTTATTTCAAGTTCAATAAAAACCAAAATAACTTCGAAATAAATTTAGAATATAAATGAAAAGGATAAAATGATCCCTTGCTGTCTAACCGAAAGTGAGAGCATATTGAATCTTTCACAGCAGGGTGAAAATATACATTTCAAATCTTATTGAATAATTGCCTAAGATCTTTGTAGAACACACAATTTGATGTTTTTGTTTTTCAAAGAAACTTCCACAGACTACTGTAATACTATTTACAAATCTTCTGGATTCCACCTGTGTCGGTTGATGTTGGCTCGAGCTTGCTAACGTTTCGCCAATTATCCTGTTCGCTTCAGTTGGTATAGTTATTCAGTTTCATTTAAGGTTTGAAGAAGCCAACAGAATGATTGGCGAAACGTTAGCAAGTTCGACTCAACATCAACCGACACAGGAGCAATCCAGAAGTTTTGTAAATAGTACAACATTTGATGAGTGACTATCGATAGGACAAGCATACACCTAGGCATTTTAGTTTGGTTATGAAAATCAGAATAAAAACTACGAGGAAGCCATAAAGTTCTTGACAGATAAGGCGAAGGAGAGAAGGGAAGAAGCCAACAGGATGATTGGCGAAACGTCAGTAAGTACGATTCAACAAAAACCGACGCAGGAAGAATCCAGGAGCCTATAAATAAGGAGATAGTAGATAAGGCAAAGCCTTCGCAAAAATATAGAAAAGCGACGACATATAGAAAAAAACTAAACTTTTTTAATTAAAAAAAAATTAAACCACAAAAATTTTAGAATTTAAAATTACAAAATTCTCCTAAAAAGGTGTCCGAATAAGTTGTAAAATTTATTCTGCCAGCGTTTTTATTTTTCTTTCAGTATGGCGAAACTATTTAAACAACAACACGCTTTATATTACGGGATGTCCCAAAATTGTCGTTGGAAAAATCCTGATTAGTTTCTAGCATGCAGGAACAGAATTGAGGAGTTTCGTTATCATTTTAGTCTAGGCAGTGGTATCTTTGATATGATACATTAATTTTACGTACCCCAAGGTTTTGTTAATTAAGGTGAAACAGTTTTATTTTCAACTACCTACGCTGTAATTAGAATTAAATTACTAAATTGCACCTTGGCGAAAATATAAAAATGTTTGAAACACATTGCTAATAGCAAAAAATGATAATGAAGATATTTTAATAGACAAGGGCGTGGCAAAATTGTTTTAATCGCATAGAAGATAATAACATGCAACTATTAGGTTACAATGAATTGAATATTTTCAATATTTACACGAATAGCCAAATAAAAATAGATTTCGTGTTCCGTTTATCTTGAATTTCGGGTTTCTAAATCGAGTCTGGTAAATCTTACTAATGGCTTATTTACATAGCCCTAAATAAAATACTTTACTGTCACCGATTTGAAGAAGTCTATTTTATTATATCAAATGGCAAATAAATTTCAAGTAGCAATCTTTGCTTCCAAGCCTGGAATAAAGCTTAACCCAGTTTTTACATTATTCGATTCAAAGTATCGTTTTTCAAGGCTCTGTACTTTTGTCCCAATTGGATTGCAGCAGAATTGTTACGAAAATAGGTCTCTAAATTATTTAGGTACATGGTGGCATCATTTGCATTTGGAATAGTTCTTTGTTTGGCGGTACCTCTTTGCGTGTTAATTTAGAAGTCCATATTTTTTTATTTTCCTGTTAAACACGTGTTAAACGTTGTCTTGCGACACTGTACTTTCTTAACATTTGTTTTTACCTCGAGATGCATACAGTTGGTAATAAAACATGAAACGACTGCTCTTTGGGTCGATGAAATTGTGCTCTATTTCGGAATTGGCTTAAGCTAATTTTTGCAATTAGAAAAATATTACTTTTAATTTATTTTTAATACCAACCACTTATTTTTAAAATCAACATAAACGAACTCTGGTTCAGTGAATTTGGGTGTACGTTCCTGACTCATCACCCTGATTCACGTTGCCCCATTTGAATGCCAAACACTTTCACAGCTTCTCTGAATTGGCCAGACCGACAGTCAAATGAAATCACGTTTTATGCAGGCAAGAAAAAAAACTCACACGGCTGTTATTTTAGCGAATCGCATGGTTAGTTTTCTTACTCATACTCATGCGATTCAGCATAGGTACTTGCGTTTTCACCGTCAAGTTGATGTAATCCAATGCTACTGGCGTTTCACGCCCATTATTTGAAACCGGTCAAGGCTGGTTAATGTATTCACAATTTCTTACGGCGTAAACAGTTATGGCAAATTTTCGAACATCACTATTAATTTTTGTCTTTCCGGATAGTGCTCGAATTTCAAACATTTTGCACCTGTAGATATATTTTTATTTGTTTTCGTTTTCACAATCTTAAATTTGATTAATTTTATCAACAGAAAATTTCTTGTTTGATTGATCTTAGCGTTACTTCACTTCGTAAAGTGCCATGACCTAATAATTTTTTATTGACTACTCAATTTGCTGAATATTTATTTAGAAAAAGCTGTACTATACCACTGCATTAGGTTTTTAAACTAAGAGTAAGTACCAAAATATTTCGATTTTCTTATCGGAATTATCTACCCATAATAAAGCATTTTCAGTGAATACTCTGTAAAATAGTATATGCAACAAGTTTGTTGGACACCATTTTAGTCACGAATTTGTTTTGACACAATCGGAGTGAGTGCTTTATAACCGAGTGATTGCAAGTTTATCAACGTGTTGCATACTATACCTTTTCTACGTCAATTAGTTTTCTGACCGACTTGTGACGTCAGAGTCAGAACTGATAAACGTAAAAATACCATGGCTACAATTTATCAAAAATATGCGCTGTAAAGCAGTATGAAAAGGCATATATGTAAACCAGTGATTAAAGTAAAGATGACGTAATAAAGTGACGCTTGGGTATTTTAGACTAGGGAGTAGAAAAAATACATTTGTAGTATATATTACAATACCTAAAAAAAATCATTATTTGCATTACGATAGTAATAGAAATTTATGCGGAGCCACGGAATTTATTTAAACAAAAAATATGCATATTAAAATATTTAATATCCGAAAAAACAATCAACAAATGGAGGAGGTTCAGCATATAAAGTATCTATCATTTGCGGTATATTCCGGTACTTATTGTTTTATAAAAATATATCCAAAAAGCAATGGTCTTAAATAAGTACGGCATAGAACACATTGACAAAATAAACAAAACAAAGTCGCTCAAAACAAACTCTAAAGCTAAATGATATTTATCAAACTTGTATAATATCCTTTTTTTATAATTCAGTCACGTTTGAATATTTTAGTATTCATTTAAAACGTAACAGTTTTAACAAATACATAAGGCAAAATAAATAAACTCTTATTTACAGACCACCACAAACCCTTATAATGCCGTCATTGCTGATAATGCTTACGCGTAAGCCATTATCAGCAAATAAATACTCAATACAGCTAACTTTTATTGCAATGGCTCTAAACACTAGCTGCCGACCAATAGGGTAGGTAATATACAACACAGATAAGCACTCACTGGCAAGCACCAAATCGAAGCAAGGCGACAGTCAAAAACGCAGCTCTACTTACATCACGATCGGTCTTAAGATCAGGAGTAACAGAAATAGGAAGCATTAATACCAATTACTCGTACGTAACTTTAAGCACATCTACGCTAGTCCCGAAACTGTAAAATAATAAAAATTATAAATGAGACGTCATCGTTATCTCGACGCGTTTCAATTAATAACATTATTGTGGAGATTTGCGGCAAAATAATGGGATAGTGTTAGCCTTTTACGGTTTAATTATTTTATAAGTTTTCGTAAAGATTAGGGAGAATAAAGATTCGCTTTTTAAAAATGCTAATTGTGCGTCTCAATTCCTCATTATTTTCGTAAACATATGACTATACTATAACTATACACATAGACAGTTTAATGAAACGATGTAGATTCGAAAAAAATAATACTGTTGAGGAAAAAGCGCAACTATGGACATAATTGTAAAATATTTGAAAATTTAAGGTTAAACTGAAGTCGATGGGAGCCCTGTAGCTCACAGTATATTGCAATAAGTTTTATAAAAGTAGGTTTAATCGCGAGCTTGATTTGCTGCTAGCGACTATTTAATAAATGAGCTTAAAATTTTTGGCTACACGTGTTTCATATTCGCAGGGTTGTGGAATCGATAGATCAAATTTTTTGTGTGTCAATTGACC